ACGGTGGGAATGTCAGAGACCCGATGCCTTTTTTGTTGATACCCGTTCGGGAGAGGGTAATTCGAGGATACACACACTATAATAAAAATGAGGGTGAGAGAGAGGCGACGTGGGAGGACGAAACAAGCTCAGGCAAAAGAAAATCGATGCGTACCTGTGGGACACATTTTCCAAGCAGGTAATCTTCGTCGGCGAACGAGATATTACATTTGAATAAACGTCGCCGTCGATAACCGCGACAGATCGCAAATACGGTATCGATCTACGGGAGCTGCGCGCTGCGTAAATATCCCATGGGAAATGTTTGCTAATATCGATCATATTCTCATTAATAGTATATGGCTTTAGGAAGCGGCACGGGGACCGTCTCCCATCGTCTGCGTGCCTCCGATACGCCGTCAATCCACGTTCCGAAACGCCTCGAGTATTCCGCGCTTTAAGAGCTGTTTAACGCGTACATATGTGTAGGAACAATATTTCGCAATATATATAGGACAGTATTTATTTAAATGTCCTACTGTGCCTCTTTTTCAAAAATAGAAGAGACAGACAACGATAGCCCGTAAATTAATATCGTACTTCGTTTAGGTTTATTATCTTCACGTAAATATACGAGATTATAAAACGCGAATTAAGTTGGTCGCGTATCGGCGTGGCGAAAGAACGGACGGAGCACGGAAGACGGGACAGAAATCGGGAATAGGGGAAAAAACGAATATGCACACGTCGAAGGCAGGCGCGAGCGTGAAAAGTTCAGAATCGCGCGGGTGTGTTCGAGTGCGCGTACGAGGGTGGTGGCAAACAAAAAGTTTCGAGGCGCGGCGGGTATTTATCTCGGCGGACGATGATAAAGGGAAACAGAGGTTCGCGGCGTGTTGGAGCGAATAAAACGTAGTTGCGGGCTGCGTCGAATAATGCCTATCACGGAGGGTAAATCGGAATTTACCCCGTGCGGGAGCGAGCGAACGAATGAACGAACGAACGAACGAACGTGCGACCATATCTCGTTGGACCTACCCCCTGTGGCCACCCGCCGCGTCCGCCGGTGTTTACCGCAATTATTAAATGTAAACTCATATTTCGTAATTGCCAAATATTGGCGGTCCGATCGGTCGGCCGGTTGGTCGTGGCCCGATGCACCTCGCGAGGGAAATGCTAGTCCTCTCTCGCACCGTTTTCATCCCTTCTCGCGTAACAATCCTTCCCGGCGGTTCTCTGAATGAATTAAACCTCGGATAAATCGATAAATGGATTTACCGCAGCTGATTCGTTGTCTGTCCATCTCGAAATGCTTCGAAGACCGTCGAAATTCTTATCAAGTATAACTCCAGTTATTCCAATACGTGCTTATCGATCAAGTCGATGGGGGAGTTTTTAATTTAAAAAACCAACGCGGGTTTGAAAAAGAAGTTAATCGGATACGCGATTTTCGATGGTCAACGGGGAGGAAAGGTCCGCGCTGTTGACGAGGGTTGTCAACGGAGTGGCGTCAGCTTGTGTAACTATTGGTAATTAATCAGAATCATCCCCGTATATCGTGTCCGTCGGGTGCGGTGAAAGTAACGGGTACGGGAAGCGGGGGACGGGGGGGACGAGCCGGTCGACGGTGGCGATGGTGGTGTTGGTACCGAAAGGGTAGTTAACCAGTGACGTCACGCCCGTGGCGACATCTGGCTCGGCACTAACCACTGGACACTGCTAAACGTTGGACACTGGACACTAGCCCTAACTCTGAATCGGGATCAAAATTACCCTTGCGCGATCGCGTTCTAGCCTATCCTCGCCGGCAGCTGCTTCTAATTAATTCCGCGTTCGGCACGTTCTACGACCGCTATTTACTTTCAGTTAAAACTACTCCTGAAACGATCGCATCCTAACCAGCCATAAATTGCTTATTTCAAACGGAATTAATGTTGACTCAAATGAAACTATGATATTAAATGAGATCTTTTTATATTAATTTCGCTGCTGGTCCATCTCTCGCTTTTTTGTTTTTTGCTGAAGCAGGCATAAAGACCTAAACTTCCGAAACGACCAGGGTAGCTGAACAGTTCGGTGCGTAACGGTAGCTAGGTTCAAGCACGTTCCTCCATACTCGTGGCTATCAATTGCGGCTAATCCTTTCCCAGGTTCACCGGGAAGATCTTGTCCCGTTCTCTAGCGGCCCTCTTTATAAATTCTGCGGCCGAGTAACAAGAAATCCGATTATTCGATTTTCGCGCGAACCATTGATTGTCGCGTTCGGGAACGCGGTGGTATAATCGGCGCGCGTTTACGCGGTAATGGTGAGCGGTTATCGTTTTAAAAGGGCGGAACGCAAGCCCCTGGTGGACAGTTAAAGTCCGGCCAGGCCAGGGAACCGGTCATGTATATTAGATACCCAATTCCAGCGGTAATCCAGCCATAAATATCTTTGAATTATATTTTCCACCGTGCTGGACGCCATCACGAACGATTTGTTCTAAAAGGTGGTGGGGTGGAGAGACGGTGTAGGCAGAATGACTGCCAAGGGGACGAGAACGAGAGAGGGAGATGAGAGGATGAGAGAGAATGGTAGGGGATAGGCTTTATTTAGCCGTTAATCGCTCAATTAAACTGGATCGCTCGAATTAGCTTTTAATCCCGTACGCGGCGGTACCGTGAGCAGTGTTTGAAAAAATCGAAATGAAATTTTCAATACGAGAACCTGACTTTTTTTTGTTTTCCCTGTTTCCACGATTCACCCACTTTTGCTCATTGGACCGTTCGTATCCTCTTTTGATTTCCTATTCGGTTAACAGTTTTCCCCAATTTCCCTCATTACCAGATTTGCGTTAGCCAACGAGCCCCTTTCAAAAACTGACGGAGATAGCTCTCGTAAAATAATATACACGGAATTTATTTATCAGCTCTCGTAAAATAATATACACGGAATTTATTTATTTACTTATTTATCCGGCGAAAATAGCGTTAATTTTAATAAAATCGTATTTGGACGATAAATTCTCATCGATGCGGTGGTGACCCGTGAGAAATGAAAGAAAAATATCGCAATTGCGATGACTGCTGGCGCTGGAACGTAGCGCGAAACAATGTAAATATTTAAAATCGAACGATATTTGCCGACCAGGCGCAACGATCACGCGGGGTGGTTTTAGGAAAATTCGATATCTGCGTCGCGTTCCGTTGGCCTCCGTCCGCGGAACGGAACTGCCGTCCTTGGTACGAATGCAAATCGTTGGACGCGGTCGCGGCAAATTTTACTTCCTTCGATGCTAATCTAATCCCATTTACATCGCGGATTGACGTGCACGGAAATAAATCGGGACGCGCGTGCAACAACCGCCGCACCGTGCGCGTCCGTGCGAATTCGGGCTTTCTACCCGAATACAACGAATCGAACGTCAGGCTCGATGTAAATGAATTTCGCTCTAATTGCAATTATGTGCCCGGCGAGTGCACATAAATGTTCGCCGTTTACACGATGTATGACGCGTCACTCACGAACGGGTCGTGTGTCACGGCGAATTTATGAAACGGCGATCGCCGCTATATCCGTATCGGCCGCGGCCGACGCCGCGCGTCATAATTGCAATCAATAATAGTTGACGTTATATATAATTAGCCGGGCAGGACGAGTCTAGGGGTTGGCACGTAACATATTTATCAGTCCTCGTCGCCGTTTACTCGGTAAAGAGACGTACTTCTACCAAGCTTTGAGATCGTTCTCCAATTTAACATAGAATATTGAATTACGTGATCACGTCAATTAGAAATAATTAACATTGACTCGCACTTGTCGAGTCAGTTTTCAAACCGATAAATTGGTTAGACGAAATTCATTCCTTTAATATAGGAAAGTACTCTATTCTTGGAGCGTTTATAACATCGTTTATAACAGAATTAATGTTTTACTCGGCGTGAAGCAATCAATAATAAATCACGTTACGCTATCCTAGACCAAATGCCATTCTCGAAGGGTAAATGATTAAAACGCTGGTAGTCATGCAACGCCAATCAGCGGGCATACCGTGTAAATACGTGATGGAAATCACCCGATCCACCCCCGTCCCTCTCCGAACGCGTACCGTGAAACGCGGCGAACGATCGGACCGCTCTTCCCCGAAATCACACCATCCTCCTAACTGACTCGCTGTTTAGCTACGCCAATTTATTTATCGGTTGGCCGTGATTAGACTTTCGCTTTACCACGGATGCAGGACCTTGCCAAACATTGACCGGATCGCGGCTGATTTGTTAACGATCACGATTATACTACTGATTACGAAAAACACTTTCCACGCCAGCCGCGTTTTCGCTTCTTTTCACGTTAATCCCGGACAACTTCCACCTGTTGCTATAAAAGAAAAGTATGCACCCTCGATCAACGATGTTCAATTATTACAACCACCCCGACAATCTCCAAATAAGTTTTACGAGATGCAAGATTAAGATTCTTCTTATCTCAATGAAGAATATTCATTAAAACGAATTGCAATTATAATTTCCTTGCTCCTTTTCGCTTCGTCATTAATATGCAAGATCGATGTGAGTCGTAAAGCTTTTTGGATTCGAAATTTTCTCTAAGCCAGTTTCCTTAAGGGCATTAGCGCGGCAAAAAGTTCAATGAATAATACCGGGTCGCATTAACTGCGAGCCCGTGTCCTCGAGAGCCTTCGACGTCATTAGTTTTCCTTAATTACCCCACGTGCCCCGGAGTGGCCGGGGGAGAGAACGGTAGCCGCGGTACCGTGGATCGAACAAGTCGGTGGTTCGCAAGTTCTCGAAGCTCGGACGGATCCCAGAGCGTGGTTCTCACGGTCGTTTCGAAACTCCAGGAAAAAGCACGTTAGGGGTGGTAACGATAGCGTTAGGAACGTGGACACCCACGAAGACGTGCCCCTTTCGGGGTGTCCTATCGTCACCCCGAGCTTATTCCGCCCCTTAAGCTCTGGCCACACCCGCAATCATGCGCAGTTTCCACCCATCGTCCAATGAAAGCACGAGAGCTTGCAAGCTCTGTCGAGCGGCTTTCGAGCCGAGCCACTCCGACAAACACCACGTGCCACGCGGCCGAGTTGCACGTGCGTTCGCGGAGCTGTCGAGCTTTTAAGCATCGTGATCGAAGGTCGTAAGCTTGCGACCATTCTTTTTAAGGGACAGACGTCGCGTTCTGGCATTTGCTCTCAACCCTTTCGTTATCAAATCAAGTACTCTACGTTCTAGTCCCTGAGCTCGCGTTGTTAATTGTTGTTTATACTAAATGGTTATCGTACTACTTTGTTCTGTAAAAAGCTGAAAAGAAGTTGTTTGTCTGATAAATCAGTGGAAGGCGTTGAGGTTTCGAAGCATTCAGACAGACTGACAGATCGAGACTGGCTCGAGTTCGAAGTATCCCAGCACGAAGCATTCGAGACACTCTGAGAAAATTCCAATAGCTAGACGTAAGTAACAGTTTTCTTATTCTTAAAACATAAGAATTAGGGAGGTAATTGAAAGCAAAGATAGATGTCAGAGTCGGAATTCAGTGACGCGTCTGGTCGATATTCAACAGTTGGTCCTTCTTTTATCTTCCGAAACTCGACCCTCGGTACTACCTACCCCTGCGTCGAGCCCTTAACAGGTTCTTTCTTATGTCTCCCTCGATTCCAGTAGCAGATCGTTTCTCTTTGCTTAAGTGTCTAACGACAACTTACGTTCTCAAACCAGTCGGGGGGTAAGAAAAGTGGATAATGCTAAATTGTTGTCGTTACTTAATACATTATTTTCTTATCCAATTTTGTCTTGTCAATTTAAATAGACAATTAGGAGACGATAAAAAAAATTTCCTATTCTATTAGATCACTCACTGACGTAGACAAAATCGCAGGGAAAAAGATCGTACACATATTCTTATAAATTTTAAAAATAAGAAATGCATAAATCGTCGCTACGTGTGAGCAAATAAATAAGCAGGCAGCCACGCGAGAGATAGACGACGAACGTAAAATGTGCAAACGGACCGCTTATCGGCGTAATTCTTTTCGCGGCGAGGCCACCGGATGTTTGCGGAGGAATTCGCGAGCCGTGGGCAATAGGTGTGGCCATAGGTGTAACATATTTATGTTGTGAACCGGCCGAGTGCGGGCAACAAATAGTGTGGCGTCGGAGTAAGTGCGATGGGAGCATGGATGGGTGCGGGGGCGGCCGGCCAGGTAGATACGAAGCGTAGGGGTAGTTCGTTTGAGGCGCGGGGCTACAACGATTACGCTTTCCAAACCCCTGGGTCGTTCGACCGAGTCACTGCCACCGCCACTGGAACCACCATCGGCACACCACCACCGTATCTACCCGACCGTTTACTCATCCCTCTGTGCACCCTCTATCACCATCTATCTTTCTCTCCTTCTTTCGCCCCATCCTGTGCCTCGCGTTCCGCAACCCCCTCCGCACACTTCCGTCCCAGTGGAGGCTGTACGATACCCGAACAGAGCCGTATTCGTTTGTTACCATCCCATATGAACGCGCATACGGAAGAATGCAATTCTAGTGTTAGGAATGCGCGAACGTTTTACCGAGGGACTGGGTCTGATTCTTTAGAAAATTCCATCCCGCGGGTTAGTACCGAGTCGGGAACGTTTAAACTATTGTCTTCTAAAAATAATTACACTATCATCATATTTCTATATCTCGTAGTATAATATAATTTGAATAATTTTATCTAGAGGAAAGATGAAGAAAGATACATTAACGGAAACAATCGAAACAAGTTTCGATTCTTTTATTCTTGTTAGATCCATTATTTGAAATTAGCACACCCGTAAGTTTACTCTCGCAGCCGGGTGAACACATACACGCGTGGACGCGGCGTGGAGTGACGGTTATGCGGACCATCTTAGGAAGCGAGCACCCCTCGGCATTCCAGCGATCTCGACCGATCGAGAATCGAAGGATAACAGGAACGCGATGCCGAGTAGGCGAGCGCGCGTGTGTCGGCTGTCCGGCAATCCTCACGATGCATATCTGTCCTCGGCCCGTTATGTCTTGAATGTCTCGACGATGCGATATCTGGTATCGGTCGCCCGGCGAGGCCAGAGCCGAGGGGTTTCAACGACGGGAGAAGCACGAAAGCTAGCCGGGAGTCGGGGGTGGTCGCATTGGTCGCAATGAGGTTACTGAGTTTGCGGCCGGATGCCAGTCTAACCATGCGTCGCGTCGTCGTATCGTGCACGTTTACTCGCGAGCTCGACAGACGATCGTACGCCTCGCCAGCATCTGAGCAATGCGGTTCAAGATCCGCGACACCGCTGACGACGCACCCTCAAAGACGCAGTACTCCCGATGGGAGAGTTGGCTGGATTTTGGTTCACATATTCGAACGAGACGCTGCGATTTCGTGACTTGGCATACGAGAAAAAGAGATCTAGGAATATATACACATTTTGTCATTCCGAGCATGAATAATGATTGAAACGAGAGACGAAGTTTAGTTTTACACGCGAATTCTCTTAAAAATCGGACCGTGATAAAAAATACAAGAAACGTAGTAAATGCCATTAAGGCACACAAACGCAAGCACAAATAATATTTTGAACCGTCCTTTGCGCGAGAGCACGCGCGCGTAATTCGACGCTTTGGCCGCGATATCCCCGGCGAGATTTCGAGGACGCGCGATGGGTAATAGGTGGCCGCGAACGAAATTTCCAACCACCCCCGTGTGCCGTCGTCACCCACCCTGTTGGCTCCGGTCGTGCGTGTGCGTGCGTATACCTCGCGCATTCCGCAGCGAGATTGCGCAAAAATCGGGCAAAACAAACGCAACTAATTTAACTGCTTTCGAACAATTAATCCGAAGCATTTAATTTAATTGCGCCGCAGCCCGTCGAGATCGGGTAGCGTCAGTTGAAACAACAATCGATGCGAGACCCAGCCAGAATTTTCGGCTCGGCGCGCTCGACTCGAATTCTTTCGTACGCAAACAAACGGATAAAAAAATACACGCGCGGAATCCATTTCCGGGAAATCGAACTGCGACACCGAAAGATGAAAACAAATATGTATGTACACATAATGTACAATGGATCGAACGGATCTGTGTATGTATATCTACCGGATTGATAGTGAGGAATATTTCATGCAGAGAAAATAATGAAGACCGAACGTGAAAAAGTATGAATTTTCCGACCCAGGAATAGGGTTGAGAGTTGCTTCGAAAGGGAAGAACATCGGAGGTTGCGTAGGGGTTGAGAGAAAGGGTTGGTCAGTGGGAAACGAGCCGGCGGGTGGGTGTAATTAATAGCAAACCCGTATAAATCAGAGACAGGTTGGATGCACGTTGGTATGCGCCGTTACCGATGCAGGATTATGCCCAGAGGGGCGGTTACCCCACGACCCGCTAATTTTTCAAACAGCCGCCATAATGGTCCCGGCTAATTACTGATTTTTATCTCCGCGAGTCGGTACTGTGAGAAAGAGTCGTTCGAGTATGGTCAGAGGGACCGAGAGAAAAAAAAATGAGCAAAAGGTACGCATGAAAAAGTGGGAGAGAGAGAGAGAGAGAGAGAGAGTCGGCGGAAGAAGAATAGGATTCGGGTCACCGATCGTTTTGTATTGCGATTTTAAGCGACCGAGGGATTGTCCGCGATATAAACCGTAGTCCTATTATGATCGGCCACGCATATTCAAACCGAGCGAAACGTATTTTTAACCGTTTCATACAACAACGACTGTAGCTGGTATTTTCGTTTTCAACCATTTCGGTGATTTTTAATCACTGCCGAAACAATGTACGGTATTGATTAACAATTTTAGCTACTTTGCGATATACGATCAATCTGAATTTTCACACCGTGCTCGGTGCGGGAGATGAAAGGTAAATAGTTTGAAAGCCTTTGGCGTAAATGGCTCTGATTACTATTAGGTGAAGGCCGCACGGAAACTTACCGAATCCGCAAGAGGATTGTTGCTCGCGCGGTGCATACAGGATGTTTCAAGTTGCTCACGATATTCCATGCTAACGTGGATACAGCTAACTACCCCCGAACACCTATGTACTTAACCCGTGTAAGCTCACGCTAGAACAAATTTACCCCGTACCCCCCGCGTGAAACCCCCGAGACGGGCCACGCCACTCCATACCATCATCCACTTTCGGGTCCCTTCTCACCCGCCTCCCACCCGTAATTCTCCAACAGGAACACCCGATGTTATGAAGTTGTGTTGAACTTTTCGCGAGAGAATAGTTTGCGAAACACCCTCGGGTGACTGTGGAGGCTTACCTGGGCTCGTGACATATATCTACGCGCCGCTGCACTAACAAACCTCCGTCGCCGAAGAGGGAAACGCGAAGGGGTGGGCTCGCTCTCGAAATTTGCGGAAGAACGCGCGGGGCTCTCTGTTTCGATCTCGAACCGCGTCCCTCTGGAAAAGTCAGCACATTCGTATCAGCTACCTGTTGCCCGACAGCTACACGTCAATCGACACAGGTCAATGCGATAATTCGGGTTTTAATGAAATTCACGGGCGCCCCTTGAATGCTGATGATGAGCGTTTGGTCTTGAAAATTATGTTATTCAACTCTCCTGTTTGGAAACGCGAAAACTTGCGTTGTTTCGTTTCATATTTCGCACTTCGTCTCTTATTTATTTTTTCAAAGAGACTTCCTGCTTTATCCAACGGAAGTATGCGTATGCAGCCGAAACGACGCGCGCGTTAGGAATTCTCGGTACGGCAGTCAGAGCCAACACAGACTCGGCCGAAACTTACGGGCCAACTTTAAGGGAGGGGAGGTAACAGCATTACAACGTTATTAGATTTACCGCAAGCACCTACCCCCGAGGCGCTCCCGCGCATTACACACATAGCCCTTCCCGAAGTATAAGTAACCCTAAGCGGTGCGGTAGCTGCCGGAGCTCAGCTCGTGCCTCCAGTGTCTTGTATCGTTAAATTATGCGCGTGTGCCTTCCAGGTACGAGTGAGAAGCATTCCGTAGTACGTCGACTCCTCGTCGAGGTTCCATCATTCTGTACTCCAAATTATCGATTATGAATTTTTAAAAAGGAATCGAACGAAACGAGGAAAAAACGGAATAATTGTATGCTGGGCGATAGAAGGGAGAAAGGAGGATAGAGAGAAAGACGGAACGGTAGAAATTTCGGTGCGACTAGCTATTGAGTAGCTACCCTTAAGATAAGGGGTGACTTCACCCCGTCCCTCATACGTTTCCGCTATCTGACGCTAAACGGCACCGCTGCTCGTGGCCTTCCACGTAAAAGGGATGGCCCTGGCAGGATGGTTCTACATAATACGCCGGCACATTACTGTCGAAACCCTATTAGATAAGCGGAATTTAGAACGGCGAGACAGGATTTTTGTACGGTGCGACATTCGTGAAAAATCACCTGGCCACCGTACTGGCTTCGCCGCCAACATTTTTCTCATCGTTTTTCTGCGTCTGAAACAAGAT